ATCTAATGGAAGGAAGGAAGGAGGGGGAAAGAAGAAGAAAGGGAAGGGAAAAGGGAAAAAAGGAAAAGGAAGGGAAAGGGAAAGAGAAAAGGAAAGGGAAAGAGAAAGGGAAAAGGAAAGGGAAGAGAGGGAGGGAGGGAAGACAGAAAGGAGGGAGAGAAGAAAGGAAAGGAAGAAAGGAAGGGAAGAAAGGAAGAAAAGTCAACCCTAAGTTAGTATGTTCCAGAGACCATTGGATGTGTAATAATTTAGTGAAGGGGTATATGACAGACCTTTATTTGATGTTAATGAATTCTGGTTATGATTCTTTAGTTGTCAAGTTGCCTAAAAATGGCATACTAACTGAACTGCCAAATTAGGACTCTGGCAGAAAAAAAAAATCTATTCTGGTGGTCTGTCCATAAAAGGAAAATGCCTACAAGCAAATTAAGAACTTTTTACTGAGATGTGAGATATAAACAATGGAATCATTTAACACTGTTAAAATGACCCCGACTGTTAGTTTTCTATGTGTGTGTGTGTATATATATAATTTCATACATACATTATATACTTTATTTTCTACTAAAAAGATTGAGGCAGTTCTGCTATATATTAAGTTAGCTATAACATCCAAGATAAAATAGCTCCTACTCAAGAAATTACATGAACATATGAGACAAATTCTTATCATAAAGACTATCATGAGGCTATTGAGTACAGCTCATATTTCCTGGTTGTGAGGCTCAAAACAAGAATTTTACTCCAAGAAATAATTTGCCCTTCAATCACCACATATAAAACATAGTCTACACAAACAAAACATTAATGAAAATTTGAAAAGGAAGGTATAAAAGGAATTCAACAGCAGGACTCTGACTACCTCTGGAGACCACACACTATCATCATTGCTCCTGATTGTACTAAATACATGTTGTAACAATCCAATATGCTTCAAGATGGAAACAGGGCTGGTATTATAGGGAAAACACTGGCTGCAACTGCCAGAAAAGTTCATTGGCTTCAACATAAATTAAAATAGAATCTGATAATTTATGTCAACTGCCAGTCACAAAGACATTTAACTGGAAAGAATTTCTGAGCAATTTTTAGGATTTAATTGACTGACCAATTTGAGCTTATCAACCTTCATGGTAAAGAAATTAGGACTTGGGCATGAAAAGCACCCTCCTTTTTTTGGTTAGTAAGTTCAAAGGAGAGAAACATTCTGATATGTGCAGAAAAAACATGGCTGACAGGAGAAAGGGCAACCAGCAAGTACCACCTGTACACATGTTGTCAGGAGAAGAGAGGAAGAATAAAATTCAGTTGAAGAACAGAAAGAAAACATTTGATATGTCTAAACATCAAAGCCCTAGATCAGAGTAAGAAAAAAGATCACTCATTGCTCATGTCCACAGATTACTTAGTTATCTAAAGAGATACTTGTGGGTGGGGTGGGGGTGGGAGGCCTTGGCATGGAAAGAGGGCCAAACTGGGAAACTGGAATGTTCACCTTTTAAAGCAAAGACTGTATATGAAGACAGATTTTAAGTGATGATTGCCTTGTGTTACTTTATATGCCAACCTATTCTACCATCAGACAAGGAGGGTGCCTAATACTGAATAAATTCCCAAAGTATTTAGCAATTAAAAAAAAAAAAAGAAGGATCTTAAGGGTATATATGGGTAGCTTTAGGAAGAGGTAGAGAAACCAACTGGGTATATACTCTCTTTTGTTTTATTTCAACTAGTAAGACACTAGGACTGATTGTTTTTCACCTTCAAAGTCTTAGTCTTGAAGAAACTGACAATAAAGGCACAAATAAAGTGAAATTAAAATAACTTCAACAAAGGAGAAAATCTGATAATGTTTAAAAAGATAGATGAATCAAGCAAAACTGAATATAGTTTAGGTAAAAATTATAACTAGAAATTAAACAATTTGTACATATATACTCAGAATAAGAATATTTAGCTTTCAAGAAAAGTTAGGCGGATTTCCTTCTGGCAAAATGATAGGTCTTGACTTCACAAGACCAAGCACAGCTCAAGGGTCAGGACCACATCCTACTCATCTTTTCATTACTCAAAATTTATCACAGTGGCGGAGTAAACAATAGGCATCAACAAATGTTCATTGACTAAATGTATATCATAATGTATAATCAGTATATAATGGGTATAGTGCAAACCTAATCAGGAAAGCTTCTTGAAAGTAGGATGAAAAGAGCACAATCAGTGGTATTCTAAAAGGCTGGTCTAAATCCAGTTACATTTTCTTAGCCACTGATTATAAAGGCTTTTCAAACCTGTTTTAGAAAACAATCAAACTCTTTTTTTTCAAAAAACAGTCTTATGTAGGACTTGAATACAGAATAACAATGAAGCTGACACTGGTTAGATCAAAGACATGGAAGCTTCACCAGCCTCCAAGCCCCCAAGCCAGCCCCCAGCGTATTTCTGTAGAACCCACTGGGAAAACCACCATTCGTCTTAGAAATGTGATAGAAAGCATGGTCATTCAGTTCTCAGGTTGTTTAACTGAGAAAATCACCATACTGTGGAGGATAAATTCTAAATAATGTTGTTAGTTTAATAAAGACAAAATTCAACAAAGAGGAGACCCTATCACTTAAAAGAAAGAAAACCACACCTAGAAAGGGGAGGGATATCAATAAAAATTAGGCCACAGTAGATAAAATGCAAAAACCAGTATCTCATTAAAAAGCATTAAACATATCCACAGCAATGTATTCACCACCATGATGAAGTCGACTGCTCAACAGGTATAACTACTCAACACAACAGGTATTTCCAAGGAGTCCGAATTTCTTATTTTACAGAAAAATCACATCAGAATTGCAGAGATGTGCTCCACTATTGAAATGCCATAGTAGACACTGCTTCATTTAGCATATCAAGGCAGGAGTTAACTGCCAGGATCTTCTACCACTTTCAAAGTTGTTCTATGCCCCCAGAACTGTTCCCTAATATCTCTACAAGTTCTTAAGTAAAAACTTCCAAAGGGCAGAGGCGCCACTCATCATCTCCAGCCAGCCTGAAAGTGGTAATACCTGGAACATTTACTCTAATCACAGGATGGGCAGAAGTCACAGTGGGCAGCAAGAAGCCCGGAAGCAAGCAGCAGGTCACTAAAATGGTGAGAGTTTGCACAGGAAAGGGTTGTTAAATTAACTGGTACTGATCTGGTGCAAATGAGAAATTTTTACAGCAAAGGTTTGAGGAGGAACATGTATTAGTGAGAATGATATGAAGCAGACTATCACAAAATAAGGCCACCTTCAACATATTATAAAACTGTAGAACCATTCTGATCTTCAAGTTTGGATTTGTATAGAGGTTTCTTATAAAGCATTAATACCTACTCATGAGTTTCCTTTAGTATATGAGCCTTTGCATGTGATGCTGTTCTCTTCGCCAGGAATGCTTATCTCCCCTGGCTCTTCACGTTGCTTGCTCCTTCAATGGCAGGTGTGAGTTCCAGCATCACTTCCTTAGAGGTGTTCCTTGATGTCCTACCTGAAGCATCCCATCTGTTATTCCCTAGCACAGTACCCTGTTTATCTCCTTCATAGACAAGTAAGATGATTAAGGGTTAGTGTAACTGCTGTTTCAGCAAAGGCAGGAACTGTAGTTGTCTTGTTCACCTTTACCCAAAGGCTAAGAAAGTTCCTGGCACATAAGAGGTGAACAATAAATATTTGTCGAATGAATAAAAAATTACTATACCAAATTTACATGAACACATACATATACACACAAATATAGGAAAGTGGGGAGTTTCCAATAGAAAACAACCAAATGCCGAAAATATCGAAATGATACTTTTAGATACAGGTGAATATGATTTCCAAGAACAAGTACCAAAGACATCTATCTTCAAAAATATGAAAATTTACGAAAAGAGGATCAGGAGTGGTTATTTTCCATTTCTACTGAGATGCAAACAAGAAATGTTTAAACTGCAATGAGTCAACATTAGACATAGTAACTATCTGCTGCAGAATGGACTACCAACAGAGCTTCTGGAATCTCCTCGCACTGCAGAGCATAAAATATGGTCAACCACATATCCAGGATTAGTTAAGAACAGCTCAGACTGCAGGTAATAAGCTAAAAAACTTGCTAAATGGCTTCTCCCCAATTTTTAAAATTCTAAATTCATAATTATATAGAATAACATTCAATTTATAAATTGAATACAACATACTTTAAAAACAGATGACCCTTATCTGCTGATCATACCTTAGCATTACTTTTCTAGGTATTTTGCAGAAACAATTATATTTACAAAAGGTTCACTTCATAATACAATCTGGTAACTAAATCGAATGGAACTATTCAACTCAAAGAGCAGAAGGTCTGCTGTTGAAATATTTTAAAATACCCTTTAAAAAAGGGTATTTATATTTATAGATTAGCTTTTAAAAAAGGATAAATATATTGAAGCAATTCTAGCATATCCCTGAAAATAATCATACTACCACCTGTGCATTTTTTATGAGGTGGAAGGATAAATCAATAGACTGCTAGGTTATACAAGTCAATTATCACCTGTTGAAATTTGGTGTAAGACAAGGGGACTTACTCTGTATGAATGTTTACTGTACACCAGAATTAACTGGTGCCAGCAATATCAGTGCAACTATTATTGGTGATGATGTCATGCTACGCTGTTTTGGTATCAGGACAAAAGTGGGAATGGAGACAAGAGGCTTGGAAAGATTTTCAGTATGGTTTCCTTATAATAACATTTAGCAGTAAATAAAAAAAAAACACAAAAAGAATGGCTGTTTAAGCCCCACTGCACACATTAAGGTCAAGGATTTCAAAAGTTAATCCATTTTTCTTCCCCCAAGAGTTTATTTTTGGTAAAAGGCGGAAAAATTAGTTTTTCTACAAGGAAAATTTGCTTCTAAATGATAATTTGAAAATCTTGATATATATTATATATTAAAAAAGACACACAAAAATAACAGAGAAGTGGGAATAACAGATTAGGTACTATAACTTTATAAAGGCCTTGCCTAGATCGATAAGCAGCACACACACACCTCATTTATGCAAACTAAAAATGTATATAAACAGCACAATACTGTGATACTGTATCATGATACATTACCTGTACACATAACTACTACTGTTATTAATAAACCTTTGGGACACCCAGTTTTATGCCCAATAAGACATCATTTAAGTCTTTAAAATCTTCTCTTCCTCCTTTATGGAAGGGTATTTCTAGACACTAATTTTCCCATCTAATATTCAAATATAGGAAACAGATTCCACAAGGTGCTTTAACTGATGAGACCTCAAGTGCTGTTTTCTCTCTTGAATTTTTGGATAGTCAACAGTCCATGGGGACCACACACAAATACTATGACAGAAGAGTTGTTACATTAAGTCTTTTGATGGGACTTGATTGGTGACGAAGCTTTATGACATGCTTGAGCAACGCACTGAAGGGGATCCCATCTGAGTTAATACTTTGTCCAACCACTGTAGAGGTCCATTCAGATGAAGTTCAATCCAGCAAGGGGTACTTGTTACCGTCTGCCTTCTGTTTCAAAGAATACAAAAAAAGGATTATGAAATTAAAAGGTTGTATACACTAAAATCTAATTTCTTTGGAATAATAAATTGTGGACATCTGATTATTATTTTGAAAATGGTTGATCCTCAAAGTACTTCCAGTGTCTTTTTTTTCTTTTTAAGGGATCTACAAAAGTATTCATTTCCCATCAAATTACAATTAGTAAGGTGACCTTATTATTTATCCATTCGTCCAAAATGGGACACCTCTGAGACAGAATGTAGGCACTATTAATAATCAGGCTATAAGGAGAGATATAAACCAGGACTGTCCCAAGCAAACTGAGAGAGACATATGGTCACCCTACTTATTAATTAAATCAACCACAGAACAGTGAACACTAAAATATCAAATGGAGTCTAAATGGAACATAGTTCAAATTTAAAAGTATACCAAAACAAAAACACAACTTTGACCCAAGCTAAATCCTTATCAGAGAATGTTAGAGTTCAACTTACCCTGAGAAAGCCAGTGAATAACATTCTTTTTAGCAACATCATTCAGGCTTTTAATAAAAAACACCTCTAGTGCTTCAAGAAAAAAGGCTACTCTCTGGGAATTACGTATTCAATGTGATCTTGTCACTTCTATGCATTGATTTTAGTTCTGTCTTATTTGCTATATAGAATAAGTCAATAACCCTGCTTGTTTCTACAAAGTAACAGCCCTTCAAACACGAGAAAAGTCCATTATCAAGTCTTCATCTCCAAGCAACACAAGCACAATACAGCTTAAAACTATTCCCAAGGATGTGATTTTCTGTAGCAGATAGTGTTAGTGCCCCCACTATACCCTTCAGATTTTTCACCGTGCTCTAGCCAACTTCCAATTGCAAGTATCTGAATTCTATGCCCAAGAACTTCTCTGTCGTGCCCACATGTGTAGTAGGCTAAAGGTGTCAGGAAATTAACATCCCCAGGAGCAGCCCTCAACCAACTGACATTTACACAGCCAGCACTTCCTTCTCCCCTGGGTGGGATAATTCTGTAGGTTCCCTGTTTCCCAAAATTTCCCGGAGGGTGCAAACTCTAGTGACCACTGTGGTAGATAGCTTAATAATGGTACAGGCTACCTTCCCCTCCCCCTGTCACTTCCCCTTCAGAATTAATTCTTAATCTAGGTCACAGAAAGAAAGTAGGTTGAAGAAGACTGCCACTACACTTACTCGGGCACAACTGTACCTGAAACATGATCCATCCCTCCTAACTGTTTACTCACTTCCGTTCACGTAACTCAGACATATTTCTCAATTTAAAATGAATTCTTCACACATGTAAATTCCTTGTTTACTATATTTCCTAGTTGTTATGCCGACAATCAAGTTGGCACTGACAAAACTGAATAATGGTTTTAGAAACCTAACCATCAAGTCTACCTTCTCAGCTTCAGCATCATTAAAGACAAAAAGTTCCTGGTAGCTACCCACAGTTCACAGATATGTGGGTATTTGACATTTTGATTTGTAAATGTTATAGTAAACTACTTGATTATCCAAAGTACCTGACTACAAATACCTATAAAAACATACTGTATATTACCGCTTATAATTATAGATTTTAATTTATCTCTGTGTTAAAGAATGATACAGTCCACAGTGAATGATGGGCAGTATATTTCTCTCTACCAACTAAAAAAAATAAAACTATTCTTAGCAGAAGACCTATAGATATATATGGAATTCTCCCTGTCCTATGTAGTTCACTCTTAATTCCACTAAATTCCAACCATATTCTCTGCATTATTCTAACATTTTGTAGGAAAAGAAAAAGTCTGACCTGAAAACTTCCTATCAGATGTACCACTGAATCTGATTTTACTATCAACTCAGATTGAGTGAAGTCCAAAGTTTTGAAAAACAGCATTCACCATTCTTTGAAAGTATCACATCTCGAAAAGGTACTGATCAAAAGAGAACCATAGCAAAATCACAAAATGAATTATTTGACCAATGTAAGTCAGACAAAATAGTGACAAGTCTTCATTCTAGGATATAGAGATTCATATATAAAAGTATTATTCAACAAGCAGACCTCAAACTTTACCATCTCAATAGTCAGATGTCTCACAAAACTTGTTTAAGATAGGGAATCAAGTCCAAATCAAATGAAATAAATTCTGAAGGGACCAAATTGCTGGATGAAGCAGGAATACAATTACTATACTATATGAATATTTCCTAAGCAGGCATGCAGAGAGAGTAAGCAATCAAAGTAAAGAAAAACTAAGTATTTTACTTAAGTTCTATCCTTTAATATGGTGAAGAAGTCTTCCCTCTCTCTGATGTGGAATCCAATCAATTAGTTAATTTAGTAATAACCTAGTCTATCTCATCCACTGCTGACACATTAGTTTTCGTAAAACTCAGTTATGCAATTGTCACTACTATCCTTAGAGAAGAGGTAAGAGTTAGGAGAGCTGTCTCTCAGTTCCATCTCAAACACTTACAATGTGACCCTGGGCAAATTATCAAACTTTTCTAAGCCTATTTTCAATTATGTATTAGTTTGAATCATTTGTTACCTACAAAGATTGCAATTTCACATATTTAAACCTTATACGGAAAGGAGTAACAACAGAAACAGTAATTCTTAGATACTGCATTTAAAACGCAGCACAGTGCTTGCAGCAAGTACCCCTTCTACTCCTGAATAAAGTTCCACCTCTTCACCTATATTCAACTCACCTCAACTTATTTGTTCAGCCTCATTTTTCTCTACTTTCTATACACCACATTAAACTGCTATTCTATTGTCAGGATTATCACTTCCCATCCTGCTCACCACCACCATCTATGAATACTTAAATCCTACTGATCTTTTAGACCAGATCATGTGCCATCACCCCTTTTATGGTATAACACTGTGCCTTACATTAAAATACATACCTATATGTTTTAATCATATCTGCTATAATGCCAGTCCAGTAACATGCAATAGTTTTGAATCCAGAGGCCACCAACTTTCTTTCATCATTTTACACAAAGATCTACTGATTCCATTACCTCAATATACAGATAAAAATGAACTCCAGAAGATGCAAAGAATGAGATAAAAAGAAATTATATTGTGAAAACTGAACTAAATATGTATGTCATACCGATATTCTGCTCCCCAACCTTTCACAAAACTCATTCTTATGGTGCACATTCTAGTTAGCTGATACACGGCTTCAAAACCCTGATTAACAGACTGAGCCAGAAGAGCAGCGAATTCCTGGTTGTTGAAGATCTTCAGATTACAGCCTATGATTGAAAAAAGTAAAAGAAACTATGTAAAAAGAGTATCATTATTGAGAAAAAATTATAAAAGAGCTATAGGTTCTAGAATATGAGCATGCAATCATCTCCTAATTCCTACAATTAGCAACCAGAAAAACTAAGCAAGTTGATGTGATAGGTTTATCTACATTGTTCGATCCATACCTGGTGGAATTTTACACACTGTGGCAGGGTGCCAGCCGTATCTCTGATTGCAATTGGGGCTCTGCACAAAGATTGCACTATCACTTAGGCACTCAGCAAAAACTTCCCCACCTATGTAATACAAGCGCACTCCTCTTCCTAAAATAAAACACATAAAGGATTAGTTTATAACATTTACTATTTTAGTGTGACTCTGGAAGTCATAGAGGAATTCTAAAATGATATAAGGCATTTCCATACCTATGTTTTTCTGAAGTCTAACTTTGAAATATAACATTTTGTGTTTTTCTGAAGTCTAACTTTGAAATATATCATTTTATGTTTTTGCAAGTGTTTTTTAAATTTATTGATTTTTAAAAGTAATATATGCTTATCAAAAGTATTTAAACAATGAAGAAAAGTGCATGAATAGCAAAATAGTCTCATACAAATTATACATTATTTTAAAATAAGTTAAAGAAATTAAGTTAATTTTGAAGAAATTGGATAAATATATCTTCATTACAACAGTCTTTCATTAAAGAATCCACTAAAGTTAAGAAAAAAAGATATAAAAAAAAAATCAAGAGATTTAGAGTCATTTGTCCTTGTAAAAACCGTATGTTATGGTGGCAACTGAATCTCTAAATGTATAAGCAGAATTAGGTAAGAAAAAATTACAGAGATTTTAATATACTTCTTTCAGAATTTGACAGGTCAAAGACACAAAATAATATGAGATATAAGGATTTTTAAAACCTGTGATAGGCAGAGTTCTAAGATGGCACCTAAAAGTCTCAGCCCTGGTGCGCACATACCTTTGTGATTCAATCAAACACTAGGTGCTACCGTTAAGGAATTTTTCAGATATACTCAGTCGACCCTAACAAGGGAAGATTATCTTTGGTGGGCCTGACTTAATCAGACAATCCTTTAAAATGGGCTAGACAGTCCTGAGCTAAAGTGATTCAACACAAGAGGCATACTCTATTGCTGGCTTTGAAGACAGTGGGGACCATGTGGCAAGGAAATGAGGACCTCAGTGCTACAACTGCAAGGAACTGAATTCTGCCACAACAGTGTGAGGTGAGAAGAGGACCTCAAACTCCAGATGAAAACGCAGTCCAGCTAATACTTCAATTTCACCCTCGTTAGACCCTGAGGAGAAGGCCACCTAGCCCATGCCTGGACTCCTGACCCACAGAAACTGAGAGATAATAAATTTGTTTTGTTTTAGGCCTCTGAGTGTGTGGTAATTTGTTACACAGCAAAACAAAATTAACAAAACAACAAACAAGCCAGATTTAATAGATAAATGTAGAACCTGGTACCCTGGTTCTACAATTATACAATATTGTAAAATAATCAATCATGTACTTGCCCATTAGAAAAACACTGAGTCCAAAAAGTAGAGATTTTTCAGGCTGTATTTTCTGATCAAAACCACCTATTACACTAGAAATCAAAAGGACAAAGATAATCTAACCTCCACATGAAACCAAGTAAACCAAGATTACAGTCACTATCATTTTGCAGTATCAAAAATCACTCTGGTAATCAACATTATTTCTCACAGGAGGTGATGGGTAATAATAATTAAAAAAATAGAAGCAAACTATTATTAAAAGAAGTTATTTTAAGATGATGACAATGATGTTCAAGCATTAGTA